AACACTTCTACCCATCATTTGATCCACTCGTGTCCAGATTAGACACCCCGACCTCTGTTGGTTCTGTAAATAAGCAGAGGGGAGCAAGGTCTACACCACTATGCAGGGAAGTGATATGACTATGGAACTAGTGCATCCCCTACAATATTTCCCGCTCTGCAGTACATCTTCACTGGGTCATGAATTCCCTGGCAGACAGGCGTAGCAGGCATTCAAGAGGACCATGATGGGAGCTCCACTCTTCGGTGGTCCAACCAATTTTATGACGATGGAGGTACCTGTTCTGCAATCTCTTTGCCATGCAAAAACCCCAAGAAATGCCGAGCTTTTTGCTCTTGTAATGGCCAGGGCCCAGACTCCAGAGGGGATGCTTTCCTACTCCCATGATCAGAACTGTTAATGTACGCCTTCCTTCCTATTTCCCTTGGACCGCACGTTCTCCAGGAAATACAGAGCAACAGCAATTCTAAGAGCACCCAGGTGACAGTGTCAGTTCTGGTTGTACCTCTGGTGACAGCTGTCCTAATGACAGCTGTCCTAATGGGTGGAGAAGTAAGTGGGGGTCGCTGTGTGAAAGTTGGCAACTCCAGACTTCCCCACTCCAAACTAGTTTCGACTGATGGGTAGAAGCCCACCATGGGGGTTGCAGTGATGCAAGTATGCAGAGCCATTAATCGCCTCCTGCTACGAAGAACTGTGACTGGGAAATGTGCAGGTCATAGCGGATGGCTTTGCAGCCATGGGATTCCCTAACTGCGGTGGGGCCATAGAATGGATATCGCCTTTTGGCCCCAGACCACCTTGTGACAGAATACATCCACAGACAGGGCTGTTTTCCGATGGTATTGCAAGTACTGATGGAACGCTGGGGTGGTTTCACCAGCATAAATGCTAGGTGGTCAAGAAAGATGCACGCATCTTCAGCAACGCTGATCTGTACAAAAAGCTCTAAGCAGGGACTTTCTTTCCAGACCAGAAGATTCCAACTGGGGGATATGGAAATGCCAATAGTGATCTTTGGAGACACAGCCTACCACTTGCTCCAATGGGTCATAAAGCCTTACACCGGCAACCTTGACTGCAGCAAGGAGTGCTTCAACTTGTTCAGCAAGTGCAGAATAACTGTTGAATGTGCCTTTTGCTACCTAAAGGGTCATGGGTGCTGCCTTTTTGGCAGGTTAGATCTCAGTGAGGAAAATATTTCCATGGTCAAAGAAGCCTGCAGTGCTCTGCATAACATTTGTGAAACTAAGGGGGAGATGTTTCCTCAAGGGTGGAGTGTTGAGGTGGATCGGGTGGCTGCTGCTTTTGAGCAGCCAGATACCAGGGCTGTTAAAGGGGCTCAATGGGGAGCTATTCGAATCAGGGAGACTTTAAAGGAGCATTTTGACAATGAGCCACAGTAATGTGGGTTTCTGTAAGGCATTGAGCCAGGCATTGTTTTCTTGCATTGTAGTATGAACCTTGCAATGATTGCTGTGTGTGTGAGTGCTAACTTTACAACACAAATGCACCGATTACCATTGTCTGTGAATTTCACCAACAACCACCGTATGAAGGAGACAAAAAGATTCAGTCTCTTTCCATAAGTACATTTTTATTAAATGCAGATGCAAACATTTCTATTGTGAAGGAACGTAAAAATGAAGAGCACATTTGCCAATGAGGTTCTCGGAGCTGGGTGTATGTCCAGCTGCCATTATGAAACACGTCCCTCTGGGTGGAGTGCATGGGGTACTGCGACGGCCTGGAAACATGTGAGAAATGTGGACAGGGGGAGTGTGGGGAGGGCATGGAAGGCAGTTCTGCATGGGCTGCAGGGGGAGACGAGCATGGATGTGTTCCGCTTGAAGTTCAGTTGGGGATTTCAGCATGTCTGTTTGATCCTGTCTCACTGACTCCTGCCCGTTTCTTATCCTGGCTATCCATTCGCAGTTTCGCATTGATAGAGAAACTCTCTCCATGCTCTCTGCTTGCAATCTGAAGCACAAGAGGATTGCAGCACGTCCCGGAACATGTCTTCCTTACTCCTCTTGTTTCGTCTCCTCGTCAGCTGCTGTGCGGGAGGAGACCTTCAAGAACACATCTACAGATGCTAAAGAAACAATAGAGGCACTGTTGTGAGTGCACTCGCAACCTTGAGCCAAACAAGTTAGAAATATCCCTTTCTCACTTCCCATTGGCAAGCATGCAACATGGCAAGAGCCTCTGCCATGGTGAGTTTGGCCCTGGGGGGAATAGGGCAAGATGGCATGAAGGGTGGGGGGTTTTCAGAGGGGTATCACTATAAGTGCCTAGGGCCACTATTCTGAATATTGGCACCATTTTCCACAGGCGGGGTGATAAGCAGCTTATGCCTCACTCCTGAGGGTAACTGAGGATGCAAGGGTGCAGCTCCTGCATGCGTGCTGCTGCAGACCGGGTCCATATGCTGCTTGCCTATGTGCTGCTATAATCCGTGAGGAGATAATTGCTGATTGGCACGGCAAAGTTTTCTACTGTGGGGAAGAAACAAAGCAGCCCTCCCAAGAAACCTGCAGCAGAGGAAAGTAGAGTGCCTCCATGAAAGTTTCCTAGAGATCTCTGTGGATGATTCCTGGGACATCCCGATGTGCGTAAACAAACTTTTCTGCAGGGCCCCCTCTGCCTAGCTGCACAGGGGAATGAGAAGCAGATACAAACTCGGCCTGTGTTGGTTATTTCAATCCTTCTTCTACCCTGATTTAAAAAAAGAAGAGCACTACCTCATGTCTCTTTGCAGTATCAAAGCACAATGAATACTTACCGGAGCTTCCCTCTCCTGCATCAAGCGCACCAGAGCCGGAGTGCTGGGACTAGCTCAACCCCTCCAGAATTAAAGAGGTCCTGGTGTGCCACCATGGCACCAGATGCCCGTTTGTCCCCCATGCTCCTCCAACTCTACTTCCTTGTCCACCACATCGTCCTTCGGGTTCACATCACTAGTCGCTGTCTCCAGCCTTCCCTCCTCCTGAAGTATCCATGGGGCTCTTGGTGGCAGAGGTGGGGTTGCTGCCAAGGATGGCATGCAGCTCCTTGTAGAAGTGGCATGCCTTTGGCTACGCAACAGAATGACTATTGGCCTCCTTTGCCTTCTGTTTCGCCTGCCTTGGCTCCTTGATTTTTGCTCATGGCATGGAGGGCAAGGTGTACAATAGGGACATGCAGCAGTGCTGTGCAATCTGCCCATAGGTATCAAAATTCCTGCGGCTGCAGTGGAGCTGTGACCTCTCCCCACAGTACCAGCAGATCCGCCGTCTCCAGTGTACTCCAGGCAGGAGCGCATTTGTAGCAGGGAGACGGCAGTGTCAGCTGGGCAGTTTCTATGTGAGCTCCCCACACGGAGCAAATGGGAAGAAGAATTTCAAAAATTCCTGGGGCTTTAAGGGGGAAGGTTGCATGCGTGTGTACCTGGCTGCAGGGCAGCGAAGTTCAGACTGGTGACCAGAGCAGTAATGATGGGCATTGTGGGACACCACCTGGAGGCTACTTTGGGTGACATAAGCAATTTGGTGTCTATGCCGATACTGCGTCTCTCTAACTTTGTCACAAAAAGCTTGATGCCTCTCAACAATGTGGTTTTATTATACTGGGCAGAGCAGGAGAGTTAAATCGGCAAGAGCATTATTGCATTGTGTTCACCTCCACGGTTATGTCAACCTAAGCTGTCTTATGTAGACTTAACTTTGTAGTGTAGACACTCCCTTAGTTCCACAGGGAGGGTTGGGTTTTTTTTTTACATATGTTTATAACATAGTCCCCCATTCGCTATGGCTTTTCTTGGCCACTCTCTTCCACCTTGTGTTGTGGTTTGCAACTCAAAGTTTGAGAGTGAGACTGCCCTGCACTCTACCACAGCAGTGGTTCCTGTTCTGCAGGCCTGGGCCCCACTCCAGCCCGCTGGGTCTTGCCACTCACAGATTTGATGTGGCAAGCTCCTCCGAATGAATGGGGGGATGCACTAGTGGTCTGACTACACCAAGAAGATGAGGTGGAGAGGAGGGTGGAAAAGGCCACAGCCCCACATAGCATCCCATCTCCATTTTGGAGTGTTAATACCAAGGCTTAAAGGGGTGAGAGGTCCTGTGGGGAAGTCCCTGAGGGAGACAGGGGACTGGAACAACTGAAGAAGTGGGGAGGGAGATGGTACAGCCAGGAGTTGGGGCCATTTGTGCTCATCTATAGGGTAGATGGACTTGGGGTGCTGCAGCAGTGGAAAGGGGTGAAGAGGCAGGTTGGGGGAAGGGAAGTGATTTGGGGGTGGTGGGGAGTAGGGGAGGTTTTAAGAGGTGGGTTAATTGAGGAATTGGGCTTGCGGGGCGGGGGGGTAGGGATGTGGGGTTTTGGGGAGTGGAAGGAGGGTTTGGGGGTTGGTAGGGTCATGTTTTGTAGGATGTTTTTGGTGGGATATGACACGAAGTGGATTTATTTGGGAAGATGGAGGTTGGTGTTAACAAGACAAAAACACGCTGATCTTCCAGTACCAATTTAGGTGACTCATGTTTCTTCCTGCCTTAAATATGCCTGAATATTAGGTAATATTTTCTACCTATCCTATTCCTCTTACATTAATGGTCGTTAGCACATACTTTAATTATTCTTAACCAATTTTAGGCCAGTCTTTAACATATTTATCGGTCTAGGCGTTTGATGTGTCAATCACTGTGGTATCCAGGTGCTACTTTTAGTTGGGAGGGGACTTCCAATTGAATTTCTGATCTTAATAGTAAACAGGAATGATTTCCTCCCCCACCCTGTCAACCCCACCCAACTAACAGCATGGTTTCCTCAGAGATAAATTATCTAGAGGAGAGAGCAGGTCTCTGAGCAGCTCTGTATAAATCCTAGAGGCAGAATCTGTTAACCATTTCTTGTATGCTGGGACAGCTGTGATGGTGGTGCATGAATAAACAGTAAATGGAAGCATTCTGCTTCCAGGCTCCATTAGACACACGGAAAGAAAAAATACATGTCCACGAAGAAACAGTTGATACAATATAGATTTATTTTAGTAACTCAGAGGCCTCACAGATAATTATAAGGGAAAAGGTCCTACTGCAGTCTTATATTAGCGCAAATTAATGGAGAAAGAGAAATAAGAAATGTTCCTTTCTTTACTCCTGTAGCACAGCCAGTCCTGGTAAAGGTAAAAGGATTTGAACTCCGTTCCTCTGTCTCGCATTGTTACCCTGCCACTAAACTCCTGGCCTGGATGCAGATCTTCAAACTGGAAGCTATTTTTAGTGGTCTGCTGCTGAGCTGTGTTGCTGAAAAGTGCCATTTGACACTGGTGGTATTGGAGCCTACTGTGAGGAAGTGTAGTTCACATCTTCACCCTGGCTTGAGGCTGGTTTAATAATCCCAAGAACAACATCTGTAAACATTTGATGTAAAGAAAGTTCTTAAGTCTTACCATCTTGTACTGCTTTCGTAAATGTCACTTTTTAGCAAGATGGCCACCGCTAATAGTAGACATTTAAATTCAAATTCATTTTATTCCCACTGTAGTGGGAACAGCTTCTTGCACGGTGAATTTTTCTTTATCAAATAAAGTAGGATAGGTGTGGGTTTTTGTTTTGTTTTTTGGGGTTGGTTTTTTGGGGCATCTGGGCAAATAGTTGCATGTGTTTTGGGATAACTGTGCCTACAAAGAGCTAGATAGCTATGCAACTGATTATTTGTAAAATCAATTAGCACAGTTGCAGTAATTGCAAACACCAATTATGAGCGCATTTTCTACATGCAGTTGTATGCACAGACCCCTCAAAACCTGGCATTTTTAAACTAATTTCAGGCAACTAGTTCACTCTGACCAGAAAGGATTATGAAGTGTAAACACAGGTTCTGTAAAAACAAAAGGAGTACTGTAATAATTCCTTTGCATTGAGAATGACAGGGAGGATTTTTTGGCTCCCTGGAGAATCAAGCGTGTTTATTAAGTGACCTGTATAGTGGGTGGGAAAGCTTAGTGTTGATCTTTGATCTATAAAGAGAGTCTGAGAGATAATTTGATCTATATATTGTGCTTGGATTGCTGCACTAGAAATGTATGTCTCATCTACCTTGGATGACTTTATGGGCCACTGGTAGAATTCAGACATCAGGCTATTAAGGAATCAAAACCTAACTGAGACAGAAAGTGATTTTTAGTAAGACTGTTTAATCCCCTAATTTGTTTCTAACACCTACTTAATTCAGTTCTATGACTGCTTGGGGAGAAAACGGAGAAGTCTTTGTTAAGATTCATAAACTCTTCCACTTTAGTGGAGGGCTGAGAGAACTCCCAGTCCACATCAGAGACTCCCAACAAATTCTCCAATACAGGTAGGGAAGGCCAGCCCAGATATTCCTGAGGTAAAAACAAACGGGATATGAGAGAGGAGAACTTTTTTAGAATGGGGAAGAAGAGGAAGAACATTGGGTCTCTTTTATACATCAAAGAAGTAAAAAGGATACAAAATCCCTCTTGTCTTTGCATGTCACCTTTAGGAAATCTGTTACGGGAGTCTGCAGTTGTCATAGACCGTTTTTCTTGGTTAGACTGCCCAGAATTTACATTTATATTACACTTTTATAATGAAGGATTCCGAAGAACTTCACAAACTGTACAAAAAATATTAAAATCCTCTCAGAATAACAGATCCATCATAAATTAGCAGAGTGAAACTCAACCGAAGGACCACATCTAATTAACAAGGCTTCTCTTAAATAACTGCTTTATAGTATTCTCACGGCTTCCAATATAACAGGAGTGACCAAATTTACCAACCCTCCGAGCCGCATACAATAATCTTCAGGAGTTCGAGAGCTGAAAGACATACACAACCTGCCCTGCGGGGTGGTACCTGATGGGGTGCGGGGCTTCTGCCCTGATGCCGCCCCCCCACCCCCGCAGGGCAGAAGTCCCTAATCCCTCCACCCTGCCGCAGAGCAGAAGCCCTGAGCTCCCCTGCTGCCCAGCTGGAGAACCGCACTTTAACTGTAAAAGCCACCGTTTGTCCACACCTGTAAATATAATTTGGACCTTCAGACTAACCCCACTATGCAACTGTTTTGATTTTTGTGCTGGTCCCTTTAACTCTTGATTCACTGTATATTACACAACTCTGTTAGAGCTCCTTTAAATGGGAAACACGTTTTAAGCTCAACTATTTCATAATTTTCTTCTAAGTGAAGTTTCTTCTAGCAGTTAAAATCTCCTTATGTGTTTTGTACTTTTATAGCACCTTTCATTAGAGGATCTCAAAGCTCTTCATAAAGATAAGAAGCTTTGCAGATGGGAAAGTGAGGTACAGAGGATGAGACTTGCTCAAGGGTAAATAGTAAGCCTAACTCCACTGAGAATAGAACCCAAATTTCCTGATTCATAGTTCCCAGCTTTAGCTATTCTTGTACAATATGAAGCTTCTTACCTGCCACCAGTTTACCCCTTTTTTGCATAGATTCTAAGGCCAGAAAGGACCACTGGGATCATCTAGTCCAGGGATTCTCAAACTTCATTGCACCGCGACCCCCTTCTGACAAAAAAATTACTTCACAATGCCAGGAGGGGGGAACCGAGCGTGCCCGAGCCCCACTGCCCTGGATGTGGGGCCAAAGCCCAAGCCCCACTGCTCTGGGCAGGGGCGCTAAAGCTGAAGCTCAAGAGCTTCAGCCGCAGGCAGGGGGCCTGCAACCTGAGCCCTGCCACCCAGGGCTGAAGCCCTCTGGCTTTGGCTTCAGCCCTGGGCAGTGGGGCTCTGGCTTCAGCCGCAGGCTACAGCAAGCCTAAGCCAGCCCTGGTGACCCCATTCAAAGGGGGTTGTGACCCACTTTGGGGTCCCGACCCACAGTTCGAGAACCGCTGATCTCCTGTATAACAGATCACAGAATCTGCCCAAAATAGTTGTACAGCATATCTGTTAATTATTCAGTGTCCCGTTTACTATGATGTTCCCAGTAGCCCAGTTTGATTTGCATTATATTCAGTAGATAAGAGTAACTGTTGCCAGAAAATGTCTCGTTTTACTTAGTTTGCCCTCGCATGAAGAGCTTTTGACAATACTCATTCCAAATCTGAATCCTGTCTTCACCATCCGATATTGCTTAGCACACGAACAAGACTCCACCGTCCCTCTCTGTAGGGGGCCACTTTGGGCATGTCCTGTGTCAAGACCCATAAATTTTCCCTTTTGGAATAGCGTGCAATGGAGAGATTCTTTTGGTCAGCCCCTTTTGTGTGTTCCTCTAGCTGCCCAGTAACATGCCTGCCAGGGTAGACACATAGCATCATTCTTCACACTCATCCTAGAGGAAGGATGGCTCAAGCCTGCGGCTTGGGAGACCTGGGTTCATTTTTCAGCTCTGCTCACTTCATGTGTGAGCTTTGGCAGTTACTGAACCTCTCTGTGCCTCAGTTCTCCATCTGTAAAAAGAGGTAATAATACTTCCCTACCTTATAGGGGTGTTGGGAGGATCTTAAAGACTGTGCAGTGCTTTGAGATCTACTGATGAAGAGCAAAATGTAAGAGCTAGCTATTAATATTATATTGCCATGTTTTCTGGATAACTTTAGAGGTGAGGGGTTGCTGAACTCTGACAAAACTCTGCAGTAGTTATAAATTTGTTCTACTTAATATCTAGTATTTTCCTAAGGCATTTGCTTTCAAAGGCATTTAGATGTCTGCTGTCCAACTTCTGTGGATTTCCAGCATTCTAACCCACATATTAGGGTGGAAATAACATTTGAGTTGAAGTTTCATAGTCTGGTCTTTTAAGTTGTAAATTTTCAATGAGCAAAACTTGTTTAAGCTGGTAAATGGAGCTGCCACTTCGCCTGTTCGTGATATTATTTCCTTCTAGCCATCACCATTGGCTTGCACATTCCTACCAAGATAGGTAAATTGACTCACTTCTTGTATTCGCAAAAAGAAAAGGAGTACTTGTGGCACCTTAGAGACTAACACATTTATCTGAGCATAAGCTTTCGTGAGCTACAGCTCACTTCATCGGTGAGCTGTAGCTCACGAAAGCTTATGCTCAGATAAATGTGTTGGTCTCTAAGGTGCCACAAGTCCTCCTTTTCTTTTTGCGAATACAGACTAACACGGCTGCTACTCTGAAATCTTCTTGGATTCATTTGCCTTCTGAAATAATGCCTCCAAAATAGCAGTCCTTCTATTTTACCTCAATGCTAACATTTAAGTGTCATTTGATGGTTATGATAGGAGTCCTAACTGGGCAGAGACTAAAGGTGACATACCTATCTCCAGTAACTCTAGCCACTAGCCCCTGTGTGTGTGTTTTATATCCGATGGAGTTGGCAGAGCTGGGCCTCTGTTTAAGAAACTTGCTTATTCTGTTCTGTAGTTTTTGGGAGGGTTTTTTGATCTCCAGCTGCTATAGAAAGCTCTCATTGTGAAGGAATTATGGCTGACTCCTCAATGTGAGGAGTCTCCAACCCAGTATCCTCCCACAGTTTGTCAGACTAACAATGTGATGTTCATTCTGTGCATAGTACTGGAGAGGGAGTGCTGGGAGCTATTGACTAACATTATTACAGGGCTAGGAATCTCCTCCTCACTTCCTGTGGGCTGTGTAATACAAGGGCATGTTTTAATCAAATGCAAAAATCCAAAATTAACTAAAGAGCAGAGCTCAGCTAAAATAGTTTCCAAGTCATGTGGGGAGGTAGTAGATGTGAAGTCTGGCATGTTTATGTTACAGTGGCCTTTGACTGATCTGACTGGAGAAGCATAAAAACAGGACTCCAGTGCTTTCCAAAGGACTGAAGAGTTTTCTCCCAGCGTAAATATGCCCCCCAAATATTTTCAGAATCTATGCTCTGTGAAGCAGAGCCATGCAGGTGTTCAAAAAACTTCAGGAGTTCCTAGAATCAGGATTTTCTAGATTCATTCTGTAAAACTTTCTTGTCCAGACAAGCAGATAAGTCATAGCTGGAGCCTTTTCTTTTTTGTTTTCTTATTTAAAAGTGCAGTCTTCGTGTTTGACATGTAAATGCAGTGTTAATAGTTTAAAATGTTTCCTTTCGACTGAGCCCAGCTTTTGCATTGCCCTGGCCAAAGGCCAGACCCATTTAAAATGAACTGAGAGAACAAAGAGACGCTTTTCTATTGGAGCTTTAACAGGAAGCTCTAGATGCTATGATGTACCCATCCAGAAGAAAAACTGGACAGATGCAGATATTTACAGGGGATTAGTGTGTAAAAATTAATAAGGATTTTATCTATAAGCAAATGGAGGCCCAGAAAACTCTTCTCCCTATCTTTCTTTTTCCCATTGCAGCTGTCTGGCTTTACATGTTGTTGGCTCTCCCAGCCAAGGGCAAGTGTTTTGGTAGCTTTTTAAGAGACCGGTTTTACAGGTTTTTATGCTGTCTTCATCTGTTGCTCAAGATGGGAGGAAGTGCCCAGAGTAGGGCAACCTCTGCACATCTTGGAACAATCCAGTTCATTTCTGAAAGTCATCTGACACCCAAAGGGAGTGTCTAAACTTCAATTTTTAGTTGTGTTTTAACATATGATAACTACGCTACACAAAATACTTCTCCTCGGACACGCAGAAGCAAATGTTTGCCTCAGGCATACTAGACTATATTATCATGTTAGTTAATATGTTAAGTAATGTATGTTAAAACACCACTAAAAAGTCAAGCATATATATATTCTTAATATTTTAAAAGGAGAAATGAGTTGCAGGATACACTAACTTTGGTGTTTCTTAAGCTCATTTTGCTGAAGGTAGGTGTGTAATTAGACAAAATATCTTGCATCTGTCACCATTTGGCTTCCACTGTGGGGAATTTAGCATGGAATTAGTAATGCTGCCTTATTTAATAAAGATCTTTGCAATTCCTGATTATTGTCAGACAATATTTAGAAAGTGAGGTGAAGACAGACATGGCAAAGAACACTGGCTTTGTCTGAAGGGAATAAAATTTTTGTTGATGGTTTTTTTTGTGGGGGGGAGGAGAGGGATGGGAGGATAGAAACTTACACGTTCACAGAAGGACCCACAAGGTAGAAAGGGAAGAAAGGAAGGGGAGAAAGTAGTGAAGACCTGAAATTATCAATAGGAGTTGAAGACCTGTGGGACATATCTACGCTTCAATTAAACACTTGTGGCTGGCCTGTGTCAGCTGACTCAGGCTCACAGGGCATGAGTACTGTGCTGTAAAATTGTGGTGTAGACATTTGGGCTGAGCTGGAGCCAGGTCTCTGGGATCCTCCCCAGCTCATGGAGTACCAGAGCTTAGGCTCCAGCCTGAGCCAGAACATCTATATAGCAATTTTACAATCCCGCAGCTGAAGTCCTGTGAGCCTGAGTCAGACCAGGCTGACACGGGCCAGCCGCGGGTGTTTAATTGCTCTGTAGCCATATCCTTAGACCAGGACGTAACTGTATACTGAAATTTGTCTGAATTAAGTTTTGTCAGTAGTGCTTACCTTTTTTTAATTTTAGATACTTTGATTGTGAGGATTCAGGAAATTTGTCAGTGACATTCTATATCCTCAGTACTACATTGCCTTTAAAACCCCACATTCCTCTCCATTATTCAAAGCTATTGGATCTCAGACAGTCACTTGTGTATTCTTCAGTTTTCAGCTAATTTATCTGTTAC